AAACCCTTTGGTTCATAGCAGCCCGATTTGGAACTGAGCATAGGGAGGGCCCAGCACCAGGCACTGCCAGTCAGGGCCAGCTTGGCAGCACGTGACTGCACCAGCATGAGGTCTGAGTGGAAGGACCCTGTGTGGCACTCGGGTGGCCAGCCTGGCTTATAGCTGTGAAGAGGTCGGAACAGGTGTGTCTTGCTCTTTCTGTTCACAGGGAGCAGATGGAATCCCAGTTGGGAAAGGAGGCCCGGTTCCGGCAGCTGCTGGCCCACAGCTCCCATGACTCGGCCATCGACACGGACTCCATGGAATGGGAAACAGAAGTTGTTGAGTTTGAGAGGGAGACGGTGCGCTGCTTTTGCAGTCCCCCCCACCCCACAATCTCCCCAATGTACAGACTTTGGCCTAGAAGCATGGCTTTCTTGCAGTGTCTCTCAGTTTTCGGGGTGCAGGTTTGGCACCTCTACTTTTGGTCTTGGGGTCTGAATCCATTCTTCCTCACACTTACCCTAGTGGGGTTGCAACGGCTGCTGGCCTGTATCACATGATGGATGCTGGCACAATGCATGAGAGCAAAGGCAGATGTTTGTATGTCTTTAGTGGCCAAGAGATAGATCATACCAGTCCGTAGAGTCCCCGGTCGGGGGCCATGTGCCCTTAGACACAGCAGCAGGACTGCCATCCCTGTTGGAGTGAGCATGTGCAGTTTGGGAGCCCAGAGTTCTTCAGCACTGTTGTCACAGGTGCTGCTGCTGCTGTCTTTACAGGAGGACGTTGACTTGAAGACTCTTGGGTTTGATATGGCAGAAGGCGTGAATGAGCCCTGTTTCCCAGGGGACTGTGGCATATTTGTCACTAAAGTGGACAAAGGGAGCATTGCTGATGGTCGGCTAAGGTATGTGGCAAGGAGGCCGAGATCCTGGAGGGAAGACGAGCCTCTTCAACCTGGTGCAAACAGGCCCAGGCCCAGCGGGAGCCAGGTAGCAGTTAAGTGTGTACATCCGGAATCTGAGGCACTGCCTGATCCTGTCTGAAATCTGAAGGTGCAATTACTAATATCGTTCGGAAAGGAAGCTTCTGCCTGTTGGTCGCCTCTGAGTCCGACTTTCTCCAGGCACCCAGGATGCTGTCTTCTGTATCTCTGGCAAGAAAAGTGCTCCGGTCATGTCTGAGACACTCCCAAGTTGTGCCTGCACTTACTTACTTTCTCTCTCTCTCCCCTCCCTCCCTCCCTCTCTGTCTTTCTTCCTCCCGCCCTCTGCTTTAAAAAAAAAACTTTTTATTGTGAATTAGGTGGGTGGTGATATATCACCTAGTTGTTTTTGCGTTAAACACCCCGAACAACTCATCACCCCTCCGCATGGCATCCTTATCCAAGCCCTCCCCCCTCAGCTCCCTCTTGTAGGACCTTGTCTTTCTCTTCGCCCCAGTTAACACCTAGCTACCCTCACTTCCCTTGGTGACCCTCAAAATCTGTTTCTTGGTGTGTTTTTTCTCCCAATACATATGTAAGTGTTTGTAATTAACTGACTTCACGCCGTATAACGTCCTCTAGATCCATCCCTGTCACGAAGTGTTCCACAGTTTCATCATTATTCCTTAGCAGTGCATAGTATTCCATTGTGTGTACGTACCCAGGTTTATCCATTCTGCCACGGATGGATTTGTGGGTTATTTCTTTCTTCTTGCTATTGTGAGTAGTGCTGCGACGAACATGGGTGTGCATCTATCTATTTGTGCTGTGTTCCTTATTTCAGGGGTTGGTTATATATCAAGTAGAGTCTTTGCTGGATAATATGGTATTTCTATGAGGATGAATCATGGTAGCAGTGATAATAAGACAACTATGAAGCATTTACTGTTTGCTAAGAACTCCTGGGTGGTGTAAATATGCTCAACTGCAAACCAGAAGGTTGCAGGTTTGAGCCCACCCAAAGGTGCTTTGGAAGAAAGGCATGGAGTTGTAATGAGTTGGGATCGACTCATTTGGCAACTGGGAGAAAAATGTGTCAAGTACCACTTTGAGCATTTAATATCAATAATTTGTTTACACTTCACAATCCCCTAAGATGTAGTTATTACCCATTTTACAGGTGAGGATACTGAGGTTCATAGGGGCTAGTTCAGGGCCATGGTTGGTTGAAACAGGACACAGCCTGGAAGAAGAGGTCTTTGTGAAGGTGTCAGTGGGCTCCTGCTTTCCAACCTTCTGAGACTGGAGGTGGCAGGCATGTGCCAGCCGGTCTCACACCTGCCTGGGACCAATGCAGTTTTGCCCTCCTCAGGGTCAACGACTGGCTGCTGAGGATCAATGACGTGGACCTCATCAACAAGGACAAGAAGCAGGCCATGAAGGCCCTCCTCCATGGGGACGGGGCCATCAACATGGTGGTGCGGCGGAGGAAGTCTCTGGGAAGCAAGGTGGTCACGCCGTTGCACATTAACCTGAGCGGACAGAAAGGTAGCAGGCTGCCAAATGGACAGGGCTCTTTTTAGGAGTACATCCTTACCCCGGATAAGGCCTTGATATCTTAAAATACCTGTGTGCTTTCCTCGTTAGAGACCATCTGTCCTGCATCTTACTTGTCTGAATGTTTGATTCAGTCCAATAGCTCACACATACATTAGCCCTTGCTACTCTGACCCTTAAGGGTACAGGGATGTTTGGACAGGATGCACCTGGCTTTTATGAATTATCAACAAAATGAGATGGGACAGCTGAGGTGGTCAGGGCGGGGCTCACCATGGCTATTGTTGCTTGTGGTTGCAGACAGTGGAATCAGTCTGGAGAACGGGGTGTATGCTGCTGCCGTGGTGCCCGGAAGCCCTGCCTCCAAAGAAGGGTCTCTCGCTGTGGGAGATAGGATCGTTGCGGTAAGTGTCAAGGACGAGGCCAAGTTTGTCTTCTGCAAATAGGCAATTAAATGGCATGGGGGCAATTTGAGAAAGTTCCAAACTGCGTTTTTATATTCTTGGTCTTAGGCATTGTCACGTGTGATTATTTAAAACTGATTTTACCCCTCATTATATGTTTATGTTTCCTTTAGAAAATACTGAAAACATTTAGGGAGGAAAATATGAAAATCGCTTATATTGATACCTCTGTTAAATAACCTTTAAGACTTTTTTAATGTGTTTCCT